GTGACCCTGCTTCGGCAGGGGGGTTGGACTAGATGACCCACAGAGGTCCCTTCCAACCCCTACCATTCTGTGATTCTGTGATTCTGTGAAGGTTACCCAGAGGTAAATATTGGGCTCCTTCGAAAATGTTGACTGGGTGCAGTAGTTTTGAAGAGCTGTTTTGAACTCTGGACACCTGAAGTACTTGCAGGACGGAAGTCTCAGTCCACTTTGGGACATCACCTTGGTCGGAGCAGGAAGGTTTTGTTACAAATGTGGATATCTCCGTAGTTCTTCCATTGCTTTCCTTTTCACTCATATGAGAAAAGCAAGTGTATTTATTTATTCAAACAAAATAATTCTGATTTTATGAGGTAGTAACTTTTTTCTGTTGTTAATATCTGCTGCCAGAGTTGAAGACATAGAATAACTGTCTTGGTCACAGGCAGAGCACTTGGCTTCTCCCCTGTTACTAAAAATAAGTTAGAACTATACTTAGGTTTGAAACTTAATAAAACAGATAGCTTCAATATGCTTTCTTAGCTTCAGTTGTCTATATACATCACAGTATCCTAACCTCTTTGTTTTTCTCTTTCAGAAATATCCTGTATTACCGTATCTAGTTTTAGTATTGAAACAGTTCCTGTTGCAGAGGGACCTTAATGAAGTATTTACTGGTGGAATCGGTTCTTATAGTCTTTTTTTAATGGCTGTCAGTTTCCTTCAGGTAAGCTTAATGAAAGCTGTTGGTGCCGTTGGTGCGAAAGGGCATTACATTAACAAGGAATTTAACCAGTCCTTAAATTTAATCATTTAAGCTATCCTGTTTGTGGTTTTGCACTCCCTTTTCATTTAAAATTAGACACATCCCACCTGTCTTCTCCTTTCTGCCATACTGGTACTTTTGATATTGGAGGTGTTTGGACCATCCACTGGTGTGGCAGTACCAGGCACACGTGTCACTCGTGGCAACATAACTTTGCTGTTGTGTAACCGATTTGGAACAAGCTGCATAGGTTAGCATTAGATGCAGCTGTCCATTATAAAATGTGTCTTCCAGGTCATACACCTGTATGTGCTCTAATGAACGCAGTGGAAGTTTGCTTGTTTGTCTAGGTTTTTAAGCTGGTATCAAATACAGGTTTTTTATAGCTTTGTGTTAAATCTGAGAGAACAAAATGCATGAGCTAAATCTATATTGTTGTGCCTGGGGGAGAGAAATATTGTAGAAATATGAAGTAGCCAAGTTCTGGCTTTATCAGCCTCGTTCTTTTTCTTGTACTAGATGTTATTGTATAACTCTGTGTGTGTGTGTGTGTGTGTGTATATGTCTGTACTTTTCCAGATTGTAGCTACGTGTAAACCTGAGCCTTGACCTGAAGCTCAGTGTTTGCTGAGTGCTATTGCAGTTGCCTGCTGAGCACCAAAGAAAGGAAGGCAACAGGCACACCGTCTGAAAGAAGCCAAAATCTCTCCCAACCCCTGTTGTTCTTGTATTGACTAATAGCATTTCCATTTGCTCCTGCAAAAATATAAGTCAAGTTTTGTATCTGTTACAATTCTGAACTGGTTTTGTTCATAATCTCTCGGGCTGCATACTTAACAGGAGAGGGGATCATTTACATAGCTCTGTGCATTGAAAGCCTGTATTTGAATTGCAAACCCAGGTTTGTGAAGTGCAAATACCTTTGCTTTTTCAAGAACCTTGCCATCAGTGCTGGAAGTTCACTTACTGAACTGAAAGTTCAAATACAAAAATGTTAACACTTGCCAGCCTTATTTTGAAGAGGTAATTAGTTTATAAAAGTTTTGACAGCATCTGGTTTTGAAGATGCAAAACTGCTTTATCAAGGAAAAGTATTATATTTAGACATGTTTGCTTTATATATTATGTTTTATTGTTACTTATTATTGTACTTAGACATGTTTGCTGTGGAAAAGAAAGGGCACTTAAAGGGCCTTAAAACTTGAGGTCTTGAGAAAATTTCTTTTTTTTTCCTCTCTTCTTAATAGCTGCATCCCAGGGAAGATGCCTGTATGCCCAGTGCCAACTATGGTGTTCTTTTAATAGAGTTTTTTGAATTATATGGACGTCACTTCAATTATCTGAAGACTGGAATCCGAATAAAGGATGGCGGCTCTTACGTTGCCAAGGATGAAGTGCAGAAAAGCATGCTGGATGGCTACAGACCATCAATGCTGTATATCGAAGATCCGCTACAGCCAGGTATCCTCAGAAACAGAGATTAACGTACTGACGAAGATAAAAAGTTGGGGGAAAGCTTAATCCAGAGGAGTTAAATCGAAGAATAGCATAGGATGGCCAAGCAGAAGTACGTCATTCATGTCTGTGGACACAAGATGCGCTCAGCACACAGCGATCTGCTTTAGGACGTGTTCCTGGCCAAAGACCCCGCGTCAACCCCGAGCGTGCCTGTGGTGCAGCCAGGAGGGAGGTGTGAGGGTGCGCGCAACGGCCCTGTGCGCCCTGCTGACGGCAGTGAAGCTGTGGCTGCAGGGGCCTGGGGGGGCCCTGGGTGGGCCTGTGGGCCTCTCTGAGCTTGTGCTTGCCTGTGTCGCAGTTGCACCTTACGGCGTACGTATAGTCTTAGGCATGCTCTCCTGTGTGGTTCTGTGAGGTCACATAAATCCCTAGTGGTTTCCTTCTGGACTGTTGACTTGAATGGGTGGCTTCTGAAATGGTGAGTCAAGTGCTGTTCATAGAAAAGAGTTAACATACTTCTGATCTAAGAAAATGTCACCCGGGGTAGTACTGTTACGTGTATTAATATATGCAGTGCAGGATTGTTTTTTTTTCTCTTCGTATATTGCACTTTTACCCAGAGCATTGCCATTGTGGACTTCTGTACCTGTAAATACCCATAGGTCTTTTAAGGTCTTTTAGATATTGATGATTCACTAATGCTCTGCTATTCCACAAGAGGTAGCTGCAGTGAGTTGGGACTTGGGGGCAATTTTTAAAAATATTGCTATCTCCTGTCTGAAAGGAGGTAACCACGGTTTCAGTCTTACTTGTTTAATTAATTCTATTCTTATTTTAAGGTAACGATGTTGGGAGGAGTTCATACGGTGCCATGCAAGTGAAACAGGCTTTTGATTACGCCTATGTTGTTTTGAGCCATGCAGTTTCCCCAATAGCGAAATACTATCCTAACAACGAAACGGAAAGGTAAACTTCATGCATCTGAATCTCAGATATAAATTGCTTATATTTTTGTGTGTCTGAAAATTAATTGTGGTGACATTTGGTTTTTATTTCCTGGTTTACAGTATATTAGGTAGAATAATTAGAGTAACGCAGGAAGTGGCCACGTACAGAGACTGGATATCAAAGCAGTGGGGGATGCAGAGTAGGACAGAGTCTTCGTGTAATGGTAAGTTTTGACTAAGCCTGGCTGAGAGCGGGAAACTTCCTGCAGCTTTTGATCACGTAAATTTTGTTGTTGCAGTTGCCCCTCATAAGGCAATGTATGCATCTTAATGTGAATTTATTTTTTTGCTCAGTGGTGATGGACTTTCTTGTGTTCTCATCCAGAAAATTTACATTTGTACAAGAATAAAAAGGCCATACCACATCTTTGTTGTACCGCGATAGATTTGGTCAGCATGGAGGTCTGTAAAGAGTGCTGGCTTGCAAAAGGAGGCTTTGGAAAAGCTTCCAGTTTAAATTACATGTGTTGTTACTGTCACGCTTCCTTTGGCCTTTAAATGTGGACAAGGTTTTAAAAAGAATTACTGGGAATGCTAGTTTCAATCTAAGTCCTTAGCCTCCGTTGTTCTTTTATTTTTCATTTTAAACTTTAACATACTGTATGTGTACAGAAGCAATATTTAAACCAGGATAGACCATGTAAGTCGATTAAGTCTTTAAAAAACGGAGAAATCGTGAAATACCTGTCATAATTGTTGTTGCTAACAAATGGAAACACACAAAACCTAGCTGGAGAACTTGCTGAAAATGTCATTTAAAATCATCTTTATTTTCATTGCCCATCTTCTCACTCCACCAGCCAGTTGCCACCCTCTTTCGGTGCAGGTGTATCTGCTGACTGGAAGTTTTCAAATTAAAATCAATTTTAATACTTTCCAATTAATTTTAGAATGTTAGCTACTGGAATTCTTCTCTTGTTAGGGATTGATCAGAGAAGATGACACAACTCTACCCAGTCTAGGCTAGGTTGTGGTTTGTTTTATTTGTTTTTGAAGCTTTTGTTAGTGATTTCCCTCAGTGTCCTCCTAAACTGAACGTGCTTCTGGGCTGTTGGTGGTTTATCAGTCTGTAGACCCTGTGGCACAGCCGAGAGCCGCGGTTCAGTCACGCAGGCTCCTGGGGAATGCTTAGCTACCTGTGGTGATGTATGTATTAAACTCTGTGTACACATAGAGCCAGTGGGGCAACAAGTGTATGTTATGTAGGTCAGAGGTAACTCCTAGGTGTCTTACAGGAGATAAAACACTAATGAAAACAGTAAAAATAACCCTGTATCAGGAAGATAATGGTGACAGCTACAGTGATCGTCGTGTAGATTTACTTTAGATTTACGTTCTGATTCTTTTTTTTAATCAAGGTAGAAGTTAGTGAGAGATGAGAGTTCTGTATCATGTATTTTCAGTGTAGGGTATCACACAAAGCAGCCAGACTTATTTGGAGTTCTTACGGCTCTAGCAGCTCCAGCAGAAGAAAAACGGGAGCTGCTGAGTATTGGGCATATAGGAACAGAATTTAAACCTACATATTTGAGTGCTGTTGAAGTGTGTCATGAAACAGTTGTATTAAGTAGCACATCTGAGCTCTGTTACTACCTTCTTCCGTGTCTTACCTCTCTGATTTTCATCTTGAACTGTGGGTAGTGCTTGGTGATTTTCATGGTGTGCGTTACTGGACCTCGTCAGGAAACCGCCACACCCTCTGCGAGGCGTTGGTGTGCTGCGTGCAGTCCATACACACAAACACATGCACACGCGTGCCTGCCTGTACGTGTGCAGATGTCTGTCCGTGTGCTGCTGGATGTAATAGAGAATTAATACCTGAGTGGGTATATTTAAAAAAAAAAAAAGACAACACGTTGTAGCAGTTAATGTGTGGTGATACTTCTGTTGTTTTTAATAGGTAATGGAGTAACCTTGATAGTAGATACTCAGCAGCTAGACAAATGCAACAATAATCTTGCTGAAGAGAATGAAGCACTGGGAAAACCTAGAAATAAAACTTCAGAAACACTTAGTAAACATTCTTCAAATTCTTCATCAGGTCCTTTATCATCGTCGTCGTCTACACTGTCCAGCTCTAGTGATGTAGTAAGTACTGGAGGTTTTCTGATTTTGTTTTTTTCAATTTCTTTGGGTGTTTTTGCTGACTTGTATTGCCACAGAATACATTTGGAAAGCTTGGAATCCTAGTTAGTTATTTCATCCGGAATCCGAACTTGCATAAGATGGTCTCTCTTATGCAGTTCCTACACATGTCAGTTGCAGTGTGTTTTTGACACAACACTTGTAGAAAGTGAATACAATAGGTACAAATTTACATAGCCCTCTTTTCTCGGGGAAAACTGTATTTTAAAAAAAAAGTTGGTAGTCCTAAGCCATATTCCTTTAAAAAAAAAAAAATGCCTTGAAAAACAAAAACACCTGTTTGAGAATTCTACTTTAAAAATAAAAGGCAAATCCCAAAATCAGAATCATGCATCGTACGTTTTTAAATCTATGTGTTTTACTCATTAAGAATTCTGGATTGAAAGAATTTTAGTATCTAATAAAATAAACACGTTTTAAATTTTGTCCACTGCTAGTTTGATTTTTAAGGGAAAACTCACTTGTAGAAAAACTCACTCGCTCTTAAGAAAAACTCACTAATACTTTACATTTTCCTGAAGGATTCTGATGGAACACCTTGCAAAACCTCTAAACAGTTGAGTTGTCGTCAGTCTACCACAAACAGAGTGGGGTCCCAAGAAGTGTCACTGGAATCCTCCCAGTCAAGTGGGAAAACACAAAATAGCCAAACAGCCAATACATCCAGCAACACGAACAAATCGCAGGTTTGTGAAATGTTTGAAAACAACGACTGTATAGATTATTTGAATATTACATGTGTGCTTCATGGAAGGGTAGCTTGTTCTGGAAAGGAAGCACTGTGTTTTTCTCCTCTGCTTTACCCCACTAGAAAGATTTGAGTGCTGATTGTATCTAAAATCACCTGGCGCTCTGTTCAGCTCACACAGATGAGTTTGCAAGAGTGGCTTTCCCAGCCTTAGAACAGATGAAATTGGATTGTTTTTATTTTGGGAAATCTGGATTTGTCGGAAGTATACAGCTGTGTCACACCCATTTCCTTTTTGCCAAAAGCATGTCACTGCAGTCTTCACTGCAGGATTTGGGCTGCTGTCTTGTGATACGGAGCGCTCCAGGCCAGGCTCTGGTAATGGGGAAATGGTAATAAATTTTAGTGCTGGTCCCTTGATAAGGCTATCATGGTGGAGGCTACATGGCAGAATAGAATCTGTCCCAAGCACTGGAGAAAGGGAACAATTTATTGGTAATTGTGTCGGAGAAGGCAGACCTGAAGTATTTACGTGACTGTAGGGGACAAACCTGACTCTGAATAGCTCAGTAAACGTCCCATTAATTTCACTGTGAGTTTTGCCTCTGCAAGAACTAAATGTTGAGGATTAAATATTTGCAATAGAATAGTGATATCAGAACAAGGCCTTACAGTTCAGTAAAAAACAGCAAAAATGTATGTTTAAAACTACAACTGGCTGCTGTGGTAGCTATTGGTACTTGTTGGAATGCCTTTCATTAAGGGATATGGAGGTTCCTTGCTGATATATAAATTCCTTCTCATTTGCCCCCAAAGACAAATATCTTTATGATGAGACCTACCAGAGCTTATGCAATTAGGGGATTTCTCATGTTGAAGGATGCTCCTTTGAAAACTCGGTGTTCTGGAAGTATTATATGCCTCTGTGTACAATATACTTTGGATATATGCAGTTTAAATTTTTGTACTTTTTCAGAATTTAGGACTTTTTTAACGTATGAAAAATAGTCTGGAATATTCTGGAATATTATTCCTGAAAAGTAGTTCTGAAGACTCGCTGCCTCCTACTTGCTGATGATCTGTCTCTAGCTAGTAATGAGACAGTTTACAGACTAGGCCTTGGATATACCCCGCATGTATGTTTGTGTTACTAAGCAGAGGTAACTCTGGTGCTGGAATGTGAATATGCACAATCTGAGATACTCTGCGTCTGTAAAAAGATGTGGTACAAAATTAGTCCTGGTCTGAAAAGAATGTTGTTTTAATTTTGCACAGAAGAGAAGATTTCAGCAATCTTCATCTGTCATCTTGGATTAGGGGCTTATGTTTCTGTCAAACACTTTTTTGATGGTTGTGAAATGGGACCGATAGAACAGTTCTGTCCTTTTCAAAATTCAGAGTGCTCTGCTCTTCTCTCTTGACCCGTGTGGCTTTGGGTCTAGAGATGAACAGTTGTTTGCAGCCACCGAAGCAAGAGATTTGTAGTGCCGTGCTGCTGTCTAAGCAATGGCCTAACTTCTTGTGCCTTGTCAGTTTTTTTAAAGTGCAAGACTTCCATGAGTTAACGACTGCATTATCCAGAAATAGGCACTGATTTACCGTGTTCTCTTTCTTTTACAGCATGGATCTGCACGGTTATTTCGCTCCTCAAACAAAGGCTTCCAAGGTCCAGCAAACTCAAGCCATGGTACCTCAGTCACAAACAAACAACATCAAGGCAGCAAATCACACCATCAGTTTTTCCACGGCAAAAAGAGGAAACATAAGAGGGATGCGGCCCTTTCAGACCTTTGTAGATAGTTGCCTATTTTATGACTGTTCTTCTGTGTGCAATGATCTCATGCTACAGGATAGTTTGATAGTGACTCCTTGGATCTCTTCCGGAGCTTCAGACTGTTCAGACATTGATTAGCAACTGCATTTTTTTTTTCCCAGCTCGCCACGGAACGGATCATGAAGATTGATCACTGCAAAAAAAAAAAAAAAAAAAAAAAAGGAAAAAAATTTAAAAAAAATAAAAAAAATTAAAAAAGAGAAAAAAGGCTGCTCATTTGATAAGTCATATGCTACAACAGGGTCATTTAGGATATAAAAGCTTGAATGTAAAATAAATGTATTTCCCATCAGCTCATGCTGACCTGTAGAGGTAGTACTCAGTGTGTCTAGGGGGTGGTAACAAACAAATAAAACACAAAAAATAGGAAAAAAAAAAAAGGCAAAAAATTGTATTTTGAGGGAAACCCAGCCTTTAAAGGTGAAAGTAATTTGTGCATGGTTTTTTTATTATTTTTGCATATACTTACCATTTTATTGTGTATATATAGATGACCATATAAGAAAACTGACATTTGTAATAGTGGATTTGTTAATACTTTTTACATAACATTACTGTTTAAATTGTAAACATAAATTTTTCTCAGGATTAGTTTGGAAAATAATCTGAATTGTCATTTTAACATCCACGTAAAGAGATATTACTAGTTATATTGCTCAGAATTTATTTTCTTGGCATTCAAAAGATTTAATAGAACATTTGATCTGCAAAAGCTGTTCCTCTGAAAGAAAGGTTTATGGTGGCAAATGAAGTTTTTCATTTGTATATAGTGTACGTGTACTTTGTGTAGACACTGAGCTTGTCATCTCGGAGAAGTAACCACCTTGCTTTCTAGAGTGCCATCGTTTCAGGCAATGGGGTTTTATAGTTGCATCCTTCCCTTCCTCCCCTTAGTGGTCTCTCCCTGGCCCTTTTTTTTTTTAAAGAAATATAAAGTCACTTGGGTTTTTTTTTTTTGTTTGGTTGTTGGTGGTGATTGTTTTATCTTTTTTTTTGGTTTTAGATAAAACAACTCAGTTTGTTACAGACGTTTGCATTCCTGGGCTGCTGTAATCCCATGCCTCTTTGTTTGTGCCTTCCCTCCCCCTTCCAGGTCTGGGTTTTTTGTCTTTTATATTTTTGCTAACTCCTGTAGGAGATGATAACTGTTGAAGCTTTAAATAAATTTTACAATTAAAGTATTTTTTTCTCACTCCCCTCTTAGGCATTTTTATATTTACACTTAATTATTTAAAACCAAAAAACTTCAAATAATGAAATATATTTTGTATTGCCTTAAAGACCCAAACCTTTCATATCTCATAGTATTTCATCATTGACCTAGTTATCATTTAATTTAAACTCCGCATTTGTCTGGTTCAGTCGCATTACAAGTCTAGGTTGCAGTAACTTTGATGCCATGAATGCGAATTGTAATCACACTCACAGGCATAGCTTGGAACAGGAGTTGGGACACTTCGATGGCAGAAGGTTAAGTGGCATTTACTTTCACATATTTCTTTAAAGAGGAAAGCCTGTACTCAGCGTATGTGGCTGTATCTAATGCAGCTGTTCTGGAGATGATGCTTTTATAAAAAGTACTATTAGCTTTTAGAAACATTTTTTTATGTACATTTACAGAATACTACAGACCAACCTGACCTTTAATGGGCACTAACAAGTTCAATGATTTTTAAAGTAAAATAATGCTAAAATAAGACCAGAACTGATGTCATCACTTAAATTAATAAACATTTTCAATGTGTTAAAGTGTTTTACTTCAAAAAAGAAAATACGTGTATTCCAAAAATACGGAAAGTCGTAACATTTACTGAAACACTAAGCTTAAGTGATGTTAATTTGACAATGTTTTTTTAAATTTTAGATTCATATTTTAATTTGATCAGATAATTTTATCAACAAGATGTTGAGCTTTTGTTCATAGAAACTAGTAAAAGTTGTACCACATTATGCATAATCACAGTATTTATTTTGTTTTAGATTATTGTGAATGTTTAGACTTACGTTCACCGCTTAGGGAACAATTATTTATAAATTATATTAATCCAGTATTGTTAGCTGCTATTAGCAAAACTGTTCCAAAACTTAATACTTGCAAAGATCTGTATTGCATTTACCACACTGAAGTGTTTTTAAAAGAATCACCCTCATTGTTGAAAGCAAATGTACTCTTAGGGTGCAGATATTAGTGTTCCAATAAGCATGTGATAATTTTAAGGTGGTGGTAGCGGGAAGATAATCTTGATTCCATTGGGAATCTTAGGTTTGCCTCAATTTATGGTTTTCATAAATTTAATGGAAAATAGCTTTTCCTGGACTGCTCAAGTTTCTTTTTGGTAAACAGTATCTTTCTAAAAGAAAAAAAAAAAAAAAAAAGGAAAAAAAAAAAAAAGCATGAAGGAAAAATTGAGGTATTTTACATTGCCTCAAATGACCAGCATTGTATTCATAAAATACTGTATATCTTGCAAATCTTTATTTAAACAGAACAGTTGAACTGTTCGTTTTTCAATCTGAAGTAAAATACTTTCAAGACCTTTTAGTTTGCCTGCTCATTTGTCTTGTACATTTCATCTCTGTATTTGACTCAAGTCTAATTCCTTTTTGAGTTTCAATACTTTTGTGAAGATTTTGTGAATATATGAAAAATAAATGTTTAATCTAACTACTGCAGTTTATCACCATTCTTGACGCTTACCCTGTTTTTTCCTTCACAGTACTGTGGAAAGAGGAGACTACTCAAGGCGTTTTGTAACGTTTTTGTAGTATCTGGGTGCTTCCTCAGCTGAGTACTGGGCCCCTCTGCCTGGAATTCGGCAGCTTATTTTGTTCAAGTGGGCCTGGTCTGCCATGTTTCCGTCCAGGAGCCCTGCAGCAGAGTCTGTATGCCTGAGAATAAATGGAAGAATATATACAGCTAATGGGTTCTTAATGTATTGTTTTTTTCTAACTTTCCTCTGCACTATACATAGGAAACGTGTGCAAGGATCCATTTACTTTGCCTTCCAAACTTGTTTTAGGTGTGGTGTTCCAGCTGCAGGACAGCAGCTGTTCAGAGCGGCCATGCCGAGGAGGGCGTTGTAGAAATATGAAAAAGTTAATTTGAGTTACCTTCAGCTAGAAACCTTCTTTAGCATAGTTCCTGAAGCACGACTGGTATTCCTAAAAGATGATCTTAACTTCCTTGCTGGCATAAATCAGCAGGGAGACGTATGCATACTGAAGGTTCTTGTAGTCTTGCTGCTGGCAGTCTACCAAAGACCATCTGAAATATATAAATAAGCCGCAATGTTTGCATATCTTCCTGTTTGACATCAGATTGATTTGTTAAGGGGTTTTTTACTTTTTAAAAAATAATAGTTCAAATGGTGTTTATAGTTAAAGCTGTGTTTTTATTAATTTTTTTTTTGTAATTGTCTTCTATCTTGTGGCAGAAAAGCAACTGAAATGTAAGTAAATCTTCCTGTTTGTGAGACATGACGTGATTCTGTTTAGTGACTTCCATGTTCTGTGCAGCTTCTACAGAATTTGCAGCTCAGGTTTTTAAATGTTTATTATAAACTTGTTTTCCTAGAACTAAATCTTCAGAAAATGATTAGCAGTCCAATGGCTGCTGGCAACTTTTTTTAGGTACATTCAAAATGGACCTTTACCATTTTATATCTGGAGTTGTCATGTGTGCATCCTAAACACAACATGAGCAAGGGATTAGAAAATAGTCTTAACTCAAAAATGTATTGTAAGTAAAAGCAGCCGCCATTCGACATCTTGATGGTGATTAAAACCCATCATAGGTATTAAAACTGAATGTGTGACTCCAACTTTCATTTCCTGAGGAGTAAAAGCTATAGGAGATGACAAAGTACGTAATTACTCAAGAAGGAAGTATGTTTACCCATTTCGGGGCTGTAACAAAAAAAATATGTAGTTACTCCAGCTATCGTTAAAGTGCAAAAAGTAGTGATTACCTATTCTGCTGATTCCTAGAACTTGATTCTTATGCTTAACAATGCAAAATAATTTTCGAAGAATCAAGTTCACCATGTCTTGAAACGGTGTTCGTCTTGAAAGTGGAGAGTTTGAGAGCTTTATTTTCTAGCTAATTTGTAGTGTTTCCACAGGTTTTCCTCAAAAATGTTTTCCAATTGCAGTGACCTAAATGTGTGTTTTGACTCTATTTCCATGAGTCATTTACCAGCAGTTCTGACAGATGTATTTATGGTTGCATCTCTTAAGTTGACACCAGCCTTGCAGTTCTCCTGGTGATTAAATACTCACCGTTGTAGATTATTCTGTGGCAAAGTTACAGGGCTCCTCCTCCTAGTAATTTGCTCTAAACCTAATTAACTAATCTTCAGAGATTGTTAGGATGTTTGAGATTATCACAGAAATTATCCAACACCAAGAATCCTTGCAAGTTACTTAATGCACAATGTCCTGAGTAATAGAAGAATTAAAATGCAGATAGCCTTATTGGTTCTTTACAAGCCCAAAATTTGTGTCAAGTATCTACTCGAAAAGGAAATAGGAATAAAAGAGCCAGAAAGTGGCTGTTACCTGTGCATTTTAGCATGGTAGTGCTAGATCAAGTTAATTGCATTTTAGATTACTCTAAAATTTAGATCAGTTAATTTTGAACAGCTTTGATTTTAACTCTTAGTACATTTAGTGATTTTCCCCACCATGACCATTTTATTTATTTGTGGACTCCAAAAACTTCTAAGAAAACTGTGGTGCCTTTGTTAGACACCTTGACCATAGACTTGGTTGGGGTACAGTTCAGTAGGCCTCCCTGTTGGCAGTAGCTAGCTTAAAAATTGCCAGTTCCTATTTGTGCCTTCACCTTGCTGTAGCAGTGCAGGCAGTGGTGAACTTGGATATTTATAAATCTGAGGGGGGGAGGAACATTGCTGTAAATTAATTGGTAAAAGCTGATGGGATCCTGAAAATCACTTATGTACATAAGTAAGTAAGGGAAGACGAAGAAATCGTGGAGATCCTCTGCATAAAAGCCATTTGGAGGAATGCCACCTTTCTGCCTTCTACGATAATGTCAACATTGAGGTGCTGCTAATGTGGTGAGTCAGTTTGCTCAGACATTACTTCTTGTTGGATACTGAATGACATGAGCAGTGCATCTGCTCACCATTGAAGTATGTGGAAGGTTTCT